AGAGGAGAGGAGAGGAGAGGAGAGGAGGGGAGGGGAGGAGGAGAGGAGAGGAGAGGAGAGGAGAGGAGGGGAGGGGAGGAGGAGAGGAGAGGAGAGGAGAGGAGAGGAGGGGAGGGGAGGAGGAGAGGAGAGGAGAGGAGAGGAGAGGAGGGGAGGGGAGGAGGAGAGGAGAGGAGAGGAGAGGAGAGGAGGGGAAGAGGAGAGGAGAGGAGAGGAGAGGAGAGGAGAGGAGGGGAGGGGAGGAGGAGAGGAGAGGAGAGGAGAGGAGAGGAGGGGAGGAGGAGAGGTGTTTTCCAGCCCAAAGCATTTGGAAACTCCAAGGAGAACAACTTCCTAGGTTCAAAGACATGCCTCTTTCTATCTGGGCAGTTCACTTGATTCCCCTACACATGATCTTGTTCATTTGTAAAATGGACAGGAGGGGTACCCAGTGCCCAGGGGTACTGTAGGGAGAGCAGGTGGGCTCTTGCTAGGTTATGCAGTGAACTAAATGTTAACCAGGGTCTCACAGTGTGACACATTCACGGAAACCACTGAGGGCCATGTAAGACACCACAGGAGGGGTGACCTGTGTTGGCCATGGGAAGAAGAAAATCTGGAAACTGCTAAGACTCTGGGGACTTTGAAGTTGGAATGAATGAATGTATTTTGTATTAAGAGATAGCAATAAGCCATCTGTAACTCCAGTCCCAAGAGATCTGACACCCTCTTCTGGCCTCTGCAGGTACTGCTGCATTTGGCTCACAGGTGTATGCACAGACAGAACACCTGTGCACATAAAATACAAAATAATATTTTAAAAAATTAGAAAGGAGAAAGTGAGCTGAACATCAACATTCATTGGTCTCTGCTTCTTGACCACAGAGGCGATGTGTCCCCGCCATGATGGCCTTCACCCTCAGACTGTGAACCCTAGTAACTCTTCCTTCCTTCCTTCCTTCCTTCCTTCCTTCCTTCCTTCCTTCCTTCCTTCCTTTCTTCCTTTCCTCCTTCCTTCCTTCCCTCCTTCCCTCCTTTCTCCCTCCCTCCCTCCCTCTCTCCCTCCCTTCCTTCCTATGTCTTTGTTAGGTATTTTGTGACAGTGACAATACTAGTTAGTGAGCCTGCCTGACCCACAAGCACCTGTGGGTCTGTGTGATCTGGACTTTCCTGACCTCCATCCTCTTGTCTCACCTCCCATCCTTCCATCCTGAGGAAGCTTCCGTCACCTCAGGAGCCCTTCTGCCCCTGAAAACCCATCCTCTTCCCTGCTTTGAGGCCATTGTGCCTGCTGCCCTATAGAGCTTCTTATCTCTATTTTCCCACACAGGGCATGTCTCACCATGTCACAGCACCCCTGCTCTCGGAAATAAGCTGGTGACACTCCCATTGTACTCTCCTGGGACATGCCAATTCTCTTCCTAGAATAAATCACTGTCTTAAAATACCTTATGTCTGTGCTCTCTATCTTAGTATGCAACTGGAAATCAAGGACATCCCATGGTTTAAGTTAGGGAATAATGTGCACTTAGTGCAACTTTAGGGAGTTAGGCTGGCACCAAGTGTACGCACACTATGAACTGTGCAGTGGACAGCCTGATCATCCGCACAGAGGACCTGATTGGATGGATGTAGGAGTTGCTGTCTCAGTAGAGATGGACAAGAGTTGTCTTTCCTAGAACATGACTTGGGGGAAGGAATTCTCTCCCAAGTGGCTATCGAAGAGCTACTAGTGCTGAGTTGAATGACTGGGACTCTGGTGCAAGCTCAATTCCCATCTCTAGTACCTCATCAAACACTGCTGAAAAGTTGGAGCTGCTACACCGAGGCCTACCAGGAGGTGGCAGTGTAAGCACAGACTGGAAGGGTGATGGACCACTCAGAAGCCAGCGCTGCAGGGCTCCAGTCCGGCTCTCCTCTAGAGGGTAAGATGGGTAAGGGACAGCCAGCTGCTGTCCACTAGAGACAGACTGGGGTACGACATGTGGTCCACTGACACAATTCTTATTATCCAGATGAGAAAATAAAGGCTTGGAACAAGTAAGCAACTTGCCCCCAGGTTCTGGTGATATTCAACTCATTCCAGGCCAATGAACCACCTGGTGACACAAAGACCTTGCACAGCAAGAGGGGACCATCTTCCTGTCCCCCATCTCACCAGCCCACTCAGTTCGGGACACCCCACTCACCTCAACCTTAGGAGGGACTTGGCCAGGGCCGGCAGGGCTTCTGCAAGCTTGCAGGCACCCACATCAGTGATGCTGTTCTGGGACAGGCTACAGGACACAGGGAGGAAACAGTTCAGGGGTGGAAGGCTCTCCCTTTCCCATTGGCCTCTATCATGAGGCTAGAAATACACTACCCCACAGGGGACCTGTAGCTACAAACCTGTGATAGCCAGCCTCAGAGAGGATCATTGGTCGTGTGGATGGACCCACAGGAACCACTTACAAATAAGGTTTTATATTTGTAAAGAGAGGGTGGGTGGTGGGGCGAGAGGTAGATGTTAGAGAAAGAGTGCTCCCCTCCTCTACCTGCTCTCTGATTTGATAGTGACCCTTTCCCCTCGGACTGTTTTCTAGCCCTCTAACTGCACACAGTAGGTGCTCAATAAATGTGTACATGTCCAGGAATAAAAAGGTGTGAGGAAGGGGGGGAGGGAGGGAAATCTATCTTGTGGTACACCTAGGCCATTGTGAATTATGGCAACATCTACACTGTATGTCAATGAAATTGCCACATGAATCGTTGGGACACTTAAAGCTTCTTACCTTGGCTTATCACATGGAGTTTTATTTTGTTTGTTTTGTTGTGGGAATTGAATGGAGGGCCTTATTCATGCTAGACGAGTGCCCTACCATTGCTGTATTGCTAGTGCATTTAAATTTTGAAGTCATCGTGGTGGTGGTTGTGTATATGTGAAGGGGTGTGCTGCCATAGTGCGCATGTGGCAGAGGACAACTTTGTGGAGTTGTGAATGAGAACTCCTGGAGAGAAGCTGTGTCTGCAGAGACTGATGGCAGATTAGAGCTGCAGTGATAGGAAGGCAGTGGGAAAACCATGGGAACAGCCACTCCTTGCTCACCCCTGTGTCAGAACAAACATCCTGTGGCTAACAGATAGAAACTTCTTGGAATCTATTAACTTAACAGACCACTAGCCTCCACCAATCCAAAACCTAAGACTCTTTTCATACATACAACATCTTGGGCCTATAGAAAAGCTTCCCTCGTCTTAATGTACCTGCGTCTCGGATGTACCCACCAATGTTTGTTTGTTTATTTGTTTTGTTTTGTGTTGTGTTTTGAAGCAGGGTTTCTCGGTATATAGCCTTGGCTGTCTTGGAACTTGCTCTGTAGACCAGGCTAGCCTCAAACTCATAGATTCACCCGAGTGCTGGGATTGAAGGTGTTCACTTGAATACACACACACACACACACACACACACACACACACACACACACCACCAACCTATTTTAACCTTGCCTTAATTTATGACTTTCTTTGTTCTGCAAAACTCCATGGAACTGCTTCCATGTTGGAACATTTAGATTACCTATAGGTAATCTAAATCTGAGTTCCGGAGCACTGGTCACTCAAAATGGCTCCCAAAAAAACCTCTTAACTGCTTTTAGGATAAGAGCAGTGTTTTTGCATTGACACGCTTTTACATGAGACCAAACTCAGGTTTCTAGGTGTAAAACTTGGAGGTGCCTTCACCATCTGTGTCATCTTTTGTAGCCCAGGCTGGCTTTAAACTCAAGATCCTCCTGCTGCAGTCTCCAGTGCTGGGATCCCAGGTGTGTGCCACTGAGCTGCTGAAGTTACAATGCAGGTTCAGTGGGAAACCCTGTCTGTCCCCCTCATACTCATTCTACCTTAACTTCCCAAGCCCAGAACCATTTAAATAAATAAATAAACATTTTAAAGTTACCAGATGTTTTACTGCTAAATCTTAATCTGTCCTTTCCCTTCCAACAACCCAGTGTAGTTTTCATTCATTAAACTTTTATTATGGTGTATTTTATTTTAATGCAGTTTTTTTCTCTTTCTCTTTTGTAGTGTGTGTGGAGGTCAGAGGACAACATGCAGGAGTCAGTTCTTTTCTTCTGCCGTGTGGGTCCTGAGGATGGACCTCAGATTGTCAAGCTTGGCAGCAGCCACCTTCACTAGCTAAGCTACCCTGGCAGCTTTCCCCCCACTTGTTATTTTCTTGGGACTGGTTATTCAGGCTGGCCTTAAACTCCCAGTTATCATATGGTCTCAGCTCACTGTATTATAATTATGATCCAATTATTTATTTGCTTCTGGTTTATTGTATGTGAAGATGCCTGAGGTCTGGAAGCAGGACCTTTTGGGTCTCCAACTATTGTCTGTGATAGCAAGGGTTCTTTAAGTATTAGTTCACTAATCCAATAAATGGGGACTGGAGAAAAAGCTCAGTAAAGTGCTTGTCTTAAAAGCATGAAGACATATTCAATCTCCAGAACCCACATAGAAATCTAGGCATGATGGTGCGTGCTTGTAATACCAGCACGGGTGAGGTGGAGACTGGAACTCTGGGGCTCACTGGATGGCTAACCTGGCTTAACTGGTAAGTTCCAAACCAGAGAGATACCCTGTCTTAAAAGAGATGGGTGGTGCTGCTCACACACACACACACACACACACACACACACACACACACACACACACACACACGAGCAAG